AGCCTTAGGTATGGCTACCGGACATTTCCGGGCAGGCGGTGTATCGAGCATGCATCATTCGCGCATTCCGCGAGAGCCGAGGCTGTGGCCACCTTTCTCCTTTTTTTTGTCATTCTTCTATTTAATTAATTAGAAATTTCTTGGTCTAAAATTAAATTAATGTATTTGTTATTTACGGACTATTAATATTTATTTTGAGGACCTCCGAAGGTGGGGGTGTAGGACAACCCCATTTTTGGACCGACCTTTAGACTCAGACGTCACCGATGAGCGCTTGGTGATGTTTGCATAATGTGGCCTTGTTCAGAAGGTTTCAGAGCGCGGCCGTTGAGCCCTGCCTCCGGACTTCCGAACCCTCTTCTGTGCTTGTCTCGGTTTGCGAACCAGGCTCGGTTTTCTCTGTTTCTTTCCTTTGAGGGGAGAGAGAGCGTCCTGTAGGACCATCTCTCGAAGTGGCCGTAGGCTACATTTTGGTGGCCGATAGCCATTTTTCCCATTTCGAGTCGGTTCCCGCGTTTCGGAGCCCTCAGGCCGTGTGCCCGGCTCCGGGACCGCCTTATCTTAACATCTCCTATTGCTCAATTTTTGGCATTACTTCCTATTTTCTCCCTTTGAGGGACACTGGGCGGTTGAGAAACCCACTTCGTGCGGATGCCCACTTTCAGTGCTTAACAGCCCTTTTTCGGGGACCTCGAACTGCGTAATTTTGGCCCCCCGGAAACAGCGTTTTGCAACGTGTTTTCGTTAATTTTTGCAGGGTACCTCTGTTTTCATCACCGGAGAGGTCACTGAAGGTGAGAGGCCAAGTAATTTTTGCAGCAAACCAATTATTACATCCTCCGACGCCCTCCGGCGCCCGTTTTTCGCACGTTTCGGGCTAATGTTGAACACCTTGGGGCCCATTATTCTTGACTTTTGAACCACATATTTGTGATGTACACACATGAGAGGACCCTAAAAGTCATGGACCGGCCATTAATTCAACTTGACCCTTTTGACCCCCTCCTTCCTCCGGCTAATGGTTGACCCCTTGGACCCTTTTCTTGAAACTTTGCAACCACATATTTGTGATGTACACACATGAGAGGACCCTAAAAGTTCATGGCGGCCAAGTAATTCACCTGACCCTTTTGAACCCCTCTTTCCGAGCTAATGTTGAACCCCTTGGACCCACTTTTTCTTGGATTTGAACCATAGGGTTGTGTTGTATACACATAGGAGGACCTGACCAGTTGGTTGGCCGGCCAGAAAATCTGATTGACCCTTTTTGACCCCTAGCCGGCCGGCTAGGGCGGTTGGCCGGCCGGCCAACCTGAACAAAGTACCAGGCGACCGTATTTCCTTGCACAAATGTGCACTTTACAGCTTGGAGGCTTTATCCCCAGAAAAGATCTTTAATCGGGGATATTTTGTGGGGAAAGTTACTCTCTTTTCCCCCACCTTTACACCCCCTTGTTTGACCCTGTATAACCAGCTGGGTGGCCTCCTTTGGTTGGGGTTAGAAAACTTCATCTTCAAGCGTTCCATATACAACTCCATCTCTAATACCTCTCCATTTCCTTGAAAAACCCTAAGTCCCTAACCATCATTTACTTCTACACCACCAAGCTGCTACACCACCACCTCGATTTCCAGCAACAAGGAAGGTTTCTCAAAGCCAAAAAGCTGCAAAATTCATCCAAGGAAGCAACAAAGTTTGAGTCTTCAAGGGGGTGAGTAAACCTTTTCTCACTTTGACCCTTTTTCTTGATTCATTTGTAAGCCTCACTTGCTTTTTTGTTTCAAGCTCCAGCCCTAACTGAAAAGGGCCCTCTTTTGAGCTCATTCTTTTCACTTTTCATTAAGGGCCTCAACCCTAGTTTTGAGCCCTCCATGACACACTTGCTTGCATTGATCCCTCTTATATGTTACACATTCTTGCATGCTATTGTTTGCCGTCCATGAGAAATTTATTTCGAGCATGTTGTAAAACTGATATTAGGCTATTTTGAGCCCCTCTTCCAACATTGAAGAAGGGGCTCAACACCATTTGGACTTCCATGTTATACTTTACCTTTATACTTCCTCTTTTCCTTTCCCCATTCTTGCATGCAATGGCAGCCTACCATGCTTTTGTTTTTGGCCATTTTTACAGTTCTTGAAAAGCGTGCTTATTTTTGGTCCATTCTGGTTCATGTCTTCATTTATGTCCTTTCATGCGGTTTGGGGCCTGCGCGAGTGAGTCACTTCATGTTATATCCCTCTTTATTCCCCATTCGTGCATGTTTAGTAGCCTACATGCTTTTATGTTTTTGGGCATTTTACCAGTTCTGTAAAAGTGCGTTTATTTTGGTCCATGTCTACATGTTTTATAAGGGCCTTTGGCTTGCTTTGTGATTATTTGGCATACCTCATGTATATAGCACTTTTGAGCCTTATTTGCATCACATTTTTTAGCATGTTTGTATACTGCATTTTGAGGCTGCCATTTATTACTGTAAATATTCATATTTCTCGGTCCCTCTTCATGTTGTAGAAGAAAATTTTTCAGTTTGCGATTTTGCTTATATCACTTTACTTCATTACCCCTCTTGTGGCCCCTATTCTTGGCATGCCATTTTTGCGCATACCTATGCTTCTGTGTTGACCATGTCTATAAACTGATGAAAGTGCAGTTTTGGGACTGTCTAGTTCTGTCTTGCATTGCATGGTCCCATATGCTGCATGTTTGCATAGCTATAGGTATTTTCTGGTGTTCCTTAAAAAAATTCACGATTTCGGGGACAATTCCATGCTATTCATGTTCATTTCGCCTCATTTTCGGGACTGTTTTCCCCCATTATTTTTACTGCTTGAAATTTCCATTTAGAATTTGATTTTTGCTATCATTTTCATGTCATTACATAGGCATTTTCTGTCATTTGCCTCGGTTTGCGTGGCCCGATGTGCAACGCAATTTCGAGGGGGCAAAACCCCCCATTTCTTTCCCTTTTTTTCCCTGCCCTGCTTCTCTGAAAATTGCCAAAGTTCTGGGATAGGTCCCCTGAACACTGTGGAACACCATCGGCTGAAGGGAATGTCCACCGGCCATTGAAAATACCTATCGGCTGTTTAAGGAGCTATCGGCCCGGGAAGGGTTGCCGGTCGGCACTAAACACTGCCGGTCGGCAGAAACTTCCTGCAGAAGGCAGTTTTGACAGCAACAGAGGGCAGACAGTATATGGCATGGGATTTCAGGCACATGTGAGCATGGTCATGTTCCCCATCATGCTTTGAACTCAGGGAAGCATGGCCCTCGATCCTCGAGCCATCAATGGTGCATGATAGCCCAAGAGATCAAGCCTGCCACTTGATGTAAAAATGCATGCAATCACACAAATGAGGACCAAGACCCTATCATGCCGAAGTCAAGGGCCCCGGTGACCGAGAGTCAAGGCGCATTACATCACTTATAGTATGAGTGCTCCTTGACCCTCACACTTGGTTTGACACCCCAAACCAAGTAATGCAATGCATGTTATGCAAGCATGACTCAAAGATACAACATGAGATTGAAAATGCAAGGCATGCCAAATGCCATGCAACTAATATGGCAAGTATGCAATGCTAGGCATACAAGATGCAAATGCAATGCAAACATGGACAATCTAAGCAATAGGATCAACATATTACAACACCTAATGAAGCAATTATGCAATGGACATGAGACA